CCCTGTGTGGCCATAGGGGAGGTTCACCTGGCAGACAACACATTTTTGCTACTGGCTGAGGCAGTCAAGGTCACAAGGAGAAATCTCTGCTCTGTCCTGACAGAGGAGGGTGCAGAGGAGCAGAGAGCAAGGTCAGAGGAAGGTGTCCTTTGCTCAGGCCTGGGGGTTCCCTCCCAGGGAAGAACCAGGGCTTGTTCTTAGAAAGCCTGGGGCTTGTACCTCAGTGCAGGCTGATTTTCGTTGGCAGAAAAATCAGTGGTCAGCTAGGTGGGAAGATAGGCGCCAGGAGGGAGCATCTTCCAGCCTTGCTTTGTGTGAGCTTGCCTTCTCTGCACACACGCCTTCACTGCAGTGGGGCAGTCTGCACAACAACACCTACAGTGTCACGCTGTCCCTATTGCTACTGTTCTAAGCCTCCCAGGAACCCCACCTAGCGGGTACTGTAGCATCATTTACAGTGAGGTAAGTGGGTTACAGAAAAGCCACGCAGAGCTGGGAATGTCATACAGTGTAGTAGAGCACTTGCCACTGCATACACACACACACACACACACACACACACACCACACACACCACATTTCAGTGCCCCAGCTGGGCCTAAGAGATTTGGTCTTAGCCTTCATGAGAGGAGACATAGACTGGGAAGGAGAGGAGGAGGGGGACAGAGAAGGGTCACATAGTGGATACCAAGGAGGAATAAGTTCTCCAGCACAGGCAGGTGGCTATTGTTTATGTAATTTGATTATTTATTATTTATTATGTGTGTGTGTATGTGGTGTATATGTATATCCAGGTACACCTCCACATGTGGAGTGCGCATATGGATGGAGGCCAGAGGTCATGTGTCTTCCTCAGCTTCTCTCTAACTTATTTTTAAATAACCTTTAAAAATGGTTTTCAGCTGGGCATTGGTGGCGCACGCCTTTAATCCCAGCACTCGGGAGGCAGAGGCAGGCGGATCTCTGTGAGTTCGAGGCCAACCTGGTCTGCAGAGCGAGTTCGAGGCCAGCCTCCAAAACAATAAAGAGAAACCCTGTCTCGAAAAAAAATGGTTTTCTTTGCTTAACATCCTTAATCATCAGGGAAATGCAAATCAAAACCACTCTGAGATTCCATCTTACACAGATCAGAATGGCTAAGATCAAAAACACCGATGACAGCTTATGCCGGAGAGGATGTGGAGGAAGGAGAACACTCCTCCATTGCTGGTGGGAGTGCAAACTTGTACAGCCACTGTGGAAAGCAATATGGCGATTTCTCAGGAAATTAGGGATCAACCTACCTCAAGACTCTGCAATACCACTGTTGGGCATAAACCCAAAGGAGGCACACTCACACCACAGGACACTTGCTCAGTTAGTTCATAGCAACATAATTCATAATAGTCAGGTCTTGGAAACAATCAAATGCCCCTCAACTGAAGAATGGATAAAAAAAAATATGGTACATTTACACAATGGAGTACTCAGCGATAAGAAATAATGGCATCCTAAAATTCACAGGCAAATGGACTAAACTAGAAAAAACTATCCTGAGTGAGGTAACCCAGACTCAGAAAGACAAATATAGTATGTACTCACTCATAAGTGGATACCAGACATAAAGCAAAAGATACCCAGCCTACAATCCACAACCCCAGAGAAGCTAGAACCCTCTTCCAGAAACAGATGGAAGCAGATGCAGAAATCCAGAACTAACCATTGGGTCAAGTTCCTGGAGTACAATCAAAATGAGGGAAGAGAGATACTATGAACAAAGGAGTCGAGACCGTGATGGGGAAACCCACAGAAACAACTGACCTGAGCTAGTGAGAGATCACTGACTCAGGTCTGACAAATGGGGAACCTGCATAAGATTCATCCATGCTCCCTTAATATAGGTGACAATGGTATGACTGGGACAATATATGAGGCCACTGGCAGTGGGTCCAAGATCTAACTCTAATGCACAAACTGACTTAGTGGAGCCCATTCTATATGGAGAGATACCTTGCTCAGTCTAGACACAGGGGTGTGGGGGGTGGAGAGGTGCTTTGGTCCTGCCTCAACGAGATGATGGGACAGACTTGGTAGACTTCCTAGGGGAGGCCTTACCCTCTCCAAGGAGCAGATGGGAGGGGGGGTGAGGGGACCAGGAGGAGAGGAGGGGGCGGCAACTGGGATTGGAATGTAAAAAATAAATAAAAAAATGTTTTAATTTTTTCTTTATTTTCAACTAAGTTTATGTGGGGTTGCTAGGTGCGTCATATGAGTTCAGTACCCAGAGATGCAAGAAGAGATCCTTGGATTCCCCTTGGAGGTGGAATTCCGTCCTGAGCTCTGATCCTCTGTAAGAGCAGTAAACTCTCTTAACATGGAGCCATCTTTTCAGACCCCCCTTTAAGCCCCCCTCCACTGAGCCATCTCTCTCATCCTTTCCACTGAGGTAGGTGTGTGTGTGTGTGTGTGTGTGTGTGTGTGTTTGAGATTGTCTCACACTGAGTCTGGAAGTCCCTGATACAGCTAGATTGGCTGACCAGTGAGCTCCTGGGAGCCATTTAGGTCTACCCATCCCACCCTAGCACTGAGGTTATAGATGCCCATCATCATGCCTGATGTTTACATGAGTGCCTGGGGGATTGGAGCTCAGGCCCTCATGCCTGGGTGGCAGCCCTTTATAAACTAAACCATCTCTAGTCCTCATGTCAACATACTTATGTTTTATTAAGACCAGGAGGAGCTTGCAAGAGGCCAGAGCAAAGAAATGATCAACGATTTAATGGAATAGAAATGGTAAATTCCTCTTATTTGATAGCTATACATCATATACATGTATTAAGTTATCACATTATGTGCCCCATTAGTATGCACAATTACCATGTGTCAGTTAAATTTTGAAGAATTGTCTAGTAGGATGCAGGAGCGAGTGGAAATTAACCCCTCTTGAGCATCCATGGCATACTGGGCATCATTGCGTCGTTCACCAAGCAGACTGCTTTAAACCCTCCCAGCAGGCGGGAGGACAATTTGTCAGTATTCTGAATTCAAAAGCAGGGAAACTGAGGCTTGAGGAGGTCAGGGGCTCATCCAAAAGCGTAAACCCGAGTGCATATCAGAACTTGTGTCTTGCGCTCAGTTCTCAACCTGAGCCCATTCCTTCGCCCTCCCTGCTTCTGGCTCACTTTGGGGACACTGTCCTGGCCATGCTCTGCAGGCAGCTTCAGTGAGACCTGGGCTGCCCTCGGCTCAGCTTGGTGCCCCAGGAGGTGTCTTTTAGCTGTCATCTCCCTCTCCTGGCTGGATGAGACTAGTCTTCCTCTCTGCCCTGAGCTATCCCTGGGACCCTTAGGCCATCATCTGCTCAGTGCCTGTCCATTCTGCCCCAGCCTCCTGTGTCCAAACACTATCCGTTTTTTCCCACAGATGATGGATACTGGAAGAGTAACAGCTCCCCTTGTTCTGGGGCTTACACTCTCATGATTGTGTTTTGATTTTGACAACACGTGAAGAAGGGAAACTTCAAATATCCTTAAGTGACCTACGTAGAGTCCCCAGGGCCTTACAGCAAAAGTCAAACCCACAACTTCAGACTCTGACCCAAGGCTCTGTGGAGGTCTCAGAGGTCAACCCAGGTAATCAAGGGACAAGGAAGCCAAGGCACAGAAACATGAAAGGCCACTCAAGGTCCCAGCTATCTAAGGCAACACTGAAAACAGAGCCCAAGGTCCTGCCAGCAACTGGAAGACCATGGGAGCACCATAGTAGACACATAGTCGGGTAATTGAGAAGCAATCCACCAAGACAGGATCAACCAGAGCCAAGGTGACCCTCTCTCCATTGGGAGCTTTGACAGGACATTCCTGTCATTCAGAATATCCTGGCAGATCTAGGGATCCAGGCAGGAGAAGGGCATAGTTCAAACCTGGGGGACTCGGCAGCTTGAAGGCCAGATCTTTTCGGAACTGTTCCTGTGGTAGAGCTATTAGGGAGAGAAAGTGTCCCCTTGTCACAGGAGTGACAGCAGGGCTCAGGGTGCGTGCCTATGACCCTCAGTGATTCCACACACCAAGAAACCGTGTTCCCAAGTTCTCAATGGGGAGAATAAAGGTAAGTTCACAGCTATGACACCTTTTATAACGTATGCTGTGCAGGATTGGGGCCAATTTCACCAAAACTTTGGGGGCTCTCCGGAAGTGGGCTCTGGTCTGAGAGGTCAATTCCGGTCAATGCTCACAGGCTCATCAGTAGAAGGATGGGCTCCACCCAAGGTAAAGATACCACCTGCCTTCAGTCCTGGCATGCACCCCCAATGAATGCTGGGGTCCCTGTCTTCTCAGCCCTGCCTTTACTTCCTTCGTGGTATGTTCCCAGTGCCCGTGTTCTCATCAGCCGTCTGGGTGTGTGGGGGCCATCAGGAGGGGCAGCGGGAAAGCAGGGGAGGTGCCCAAGATATCCGTCCCACATTTGTACCCTCATCTAGGCTGCCTTTGTCCTCACTGGGAATTTTCTTCACCAGGGGTGGCCTGAAGGGTCCAGGGGAGCTGGGAATAGAGGGACCAGTTTAGGGTCTGTGGCAGCTAGACCACGTTCAGGACCTGCCAGCCCCTCTCCATCTCTGAGTTCTGGGAATGGTATGGTGTCCCACACAGCACGGACTAGGAGGGACCAGTATATTGCTCACACCCACCCGTCCTAGGACCCAAAAACTCCCGAAGAGGATGTGGACCACAGTGAGGGAGAAAAGGCAAGTCCTAAGTCTGGGTAGGAGGTGAAGAAGAAAGGGAGAGACTCGGGAGAGTTCCGAATGTGTTCTTGGACATTTTCTTTGCCAACATATCGGGGAGACGTTCAAGCAGCTGATCCTGTGGAGTTAACACCCACAGCGACTCTCTCTCATTCAGGGAACTTGGACTTGCTACTGAGTCCCCAAGGCGAGGCTCCAAACATCCAGAACCGTGCTGGACTCTCCCAGCTCCTTCCCTTCCCCATCCAGCCCTGGCTTCCAGCCACCCTCTGGCTCACCTTTGGGCAGTTTGGATGCGTTCTCCTGAATCCATGAGAAGAGGTGGGCGAAGTCACAGTCGCATAGCCAGGGGTTCCCGTCCAGGCGCACAGTGCGCAGCGCGGGCAGTGCATCCAAAGCCGCCACGTTGAGGCTGCGCAGGTTGTTATCATTGAGTTCCAGCACCTGCAGCGACTCCAGGCTTTCGAAGGCGGCCTCGTGCACACCGGCCAGGTGGTTGTTGGCCAGGCTCAGCTTGACCAGCCTCCCCGCCGAGCGGAAGGCGCCGGCGCCCAGCTGGGTGAGGTTGTTGTAGCTGAGGTCCAGGAAGGCCAGCTTGGCGGAGCCGCTGAACGTGCCCTCCTCCAGCGAGCGCAGCGAGTTGTTCCTGAAATCCAGATAGACTAGATCTCCGTGGAAGATGAAGAAGTCCTCGGGGATCTGCTGGATTCGGTTGCCGGCCACTAGCAGCTTGCGCACGTCCAGCGGGAAGGGATCGGGCACGCTGGGCAGCCCGCGATCACGGCAGTCCACGGTGTGGGGGTCGGTGCAGGCACAGCCCGCGGGGCACGCGCGTCCCGGCCCGAGCAGCATCAAGAGGCTACCGAGCCCCAGCGCCGCAGCGGCGCCGGTGGAGCGGCGGGGGACAGCGCAGAGACTCATGGCCCGGGGGACTCCAGTGGACACGACTCTTGGGGCGAAGCAGGCGCAGCGGGGCCCTGGCTGCCGGGATCCGGGAGCCCTAGGGCAGCGGCGCGGGGCGGGGAGGCTGCTCCCGGACGCGCGGGGGCGATGAGAGTGTGGCGGGGACAGAGCGACCTGGGGTGTCCGGGAAGCAGGGAGGGAGGAGGCAGAGGAAGGGCGCTGGGCGCCGAATTCACCAGCACAGGAAAATGACCCTCTAGAACATTCCAAGGCATAGGCAGGGATCGCGGAGCGAGCCCAGCCCGATCCCACTCAGGCGGGTAAGTGGGACCTGTCGCACGGACCTGGCCAGCGGTGCTCAAGACTAAGTTCGGTGACCGATCCCTGGAGCGATTTTCATAGGGCGTGTCTGGGGCATGCGCCCGCAGCGCCACCCTCGTATCTGCCAAAGGGGCCCGGGTCACTTTGGCTCTAACTCCTGGAGTGCCCCAGGCTGCCAAGTCCCCATCTGGGGCTGAGAAGCTGAGTGTGGGCTAGGCTCCAGGATGACTGGGTTTCCCTCAGACACCCTCTTTCCTCCCACCTGCTTTTGGCCCACCTCCTCCTGGAGGAGGGTGTGAGCCTGGCGGGTGGCTGCCAGAGTCCTGCTGTGACTGGAAAGATGGCCCAAGCCAGTCAGCGTTTTCCATGCTGGTCCTGAGCTGATTGTCAACCCAGCTTGGATCTACTGTGACTCAAGGCCCAAGCAAGGGGCACTGGAGAGTTTGGGAGGGAGTTGGGTGACCTGGACCCAGAGCCTCCTAGGCCCCTGGACTCCTGTGGAACTGTCTGTGAGATGGGGAAGGTAACCGGTATCTTATCACTCACTGTGAGGACTGAGGAAGACCAGAGCTGTGTTCCGGAGTTACCAACACTTTCGGCTCCCCATCAGCCCCAGGAAAGTGATCTGGTCAGAGAGATGTCAAAGCTTAGAGCTCCACAAAGGTGAGGTTGGTCTTCGAAGTGGTAGAATTCCTTCCTTGTCATTCCTCGAGTCGGTCTTTTTTCTCCTCCCCACCCTGGCTCTTTTCCTTGGGAAAGCCCCCACACAGCTACAGGGATATTGCCCTACACGTGGCTATTTTAATCCCAGTACCCTGGAACTGAAAAGCTCATCCCCTGGCCCAAAATAACTCAGGGAACAGCTGTCAACTACAGCCCCCCCATGGCCCCTGCCCCAGCCCCTGACTCTGCTGGGGATTGGTGGAGCCAGCTATTCTGAAGCCCCAGAGCTAAGTCTGGATATTTCCCCCAGTTTGGAAGGCAGTTGGATGACCTCTTTTTCCAGTTTGGAAGGCAGTTGGTACCTCTTTTTCCAGTTTGGAAGGCAGTTGGTACCTCTGAGCCAGGGGTCAGGCAATCAAGTCTTTGGGATGGAGCCAAGGGCCCAAGAGGATAGGGCTTGCATGAGTTCCAGGAGGGGCTGGGTGTCAGATCCCCTCAGTGCCTCCTCCCCTGCAGACGCCCATGCTACCAAGCCAGACCTGCACTCCCCTGTCTTGTACCCCCCACTCTTTCTGGAGGCCCCAGAATCCCCTTGCAAGCCCCAGTTTCAGAGGCAGTATGGTGTGGAAAAGATCTGGATAGATGAAGGTGCCTTAGCCACGCTGGTAATGTGCTGTTAAAGATGCAAGCAGGTGCCAGAGTAAGCTCGTGCCACTACCACATAGTCTGCAAAAGCACTCTGAAAAGAGAGATCTTTTCCCTTTCAGCCTCAGGTTCTGTCTGTTCACACCAGGGCTGAGCAATACCACGGTTGGAGCTCTGAGCATTTTTGTCTCAGGACACCTGGTTGATTGGACTGCCGTTTTGTCCAAGTGTAGGTCTAAGTATGCACAGGCGTCGTCCTGCCAAGGGATCTGGCTGGCTGCAGCTCTTCACTGAGTCAGATCCGCACCCCTTCCCCTGGTGTCTGATCCTGGACCTACCACTGACCACAGGGCACGCCCCTTTGTCTTTCTGAGGACATCCCAGACCTTGTCTGTTAAAATTTAGCCTGGTGAGAGGTGGGCTCTTATCTAGAAGAAGAACCCCAAGAGTAAGCATGGCACTCACCCATGGGTGACTTTGGTCAACAAAAACCGTCACTTTCTAGCTAATACATGCACAGTGTTCAGCCAATAAAATGCTCACAAAACAGGGCCAGGCTTGATAGCAGAATAATGCAAGGGGTTCCCAGAAACAAAACAGCTGAGAAATGTCTCTCCATAGCTGTGACTCCCTTGTCCTGAAGTGAAGAGGAGACACTTCCTCTACCCTTGCACAGACAGCATGAGAGCGTGAGAGGAATTATTTGTGTGGAAACATGACATGGAAAATGCTGTAGAAGCCATGCATGGAAAGGTGGCGACAAATCTCCCTGTCGGGAACTCCTTGCTGTTTGCTTTCACTGTCTCTCAAAGTCCCTTGGATCCAAATCTAACTGTGGTTTTGTTTTGTTTTTAAAATTCATGTCAACAGGCCGTGGCTGAGGCTCATGGGAATCTGGAGGCCCCCCGTACTGTAGGACTCTCGTTCCTGGGGAAAACGAAAGCTCTGCCACCTCTGATACTTCTTCTCCTTGCAAGAAACACAAAGCCATGACCTCAGCAAGGTCTTTCTGTGAGTCAGGGATAGGAGCTGAAATTAGGACACAGGCATTGCGGGTCCACAGCTATTCCGTTCACCCACCCTGGCTGGGACAAAGTGCAGGTAAGGAGGCCTGGAGCAGCTTCCAGAGCGTCTGCGTGTCAGAAGCACTAATGAGTTTATCCCCAAAGGCAACATATCACAACTCCTATTCAAGAGATGGGGTATAAAATAGCCAACGTATCCTGATGGGTGTTTTTACAAAAAAAAAAAAGGGGGGTTCAGGTCGTTGAGATGACTCAGTGGGCAAAAGTGCTTGCCACCAAGTCGGATGAACTGAGTGCAGTCCTTGGGACCTACACAGCTGAAGGCGAGAGGCGACTCTTGCAGGCTGTCCTCTGACCTGCACAGGCTCCACGTGGCCCACGTGTGCACACACACATACCCACACTCATACACATTGGTACAGGAGAAGTTGGATCCAGGGTTAGATCCCCTGGAACTAGAGTTACAGATGGTTGGGAGCCATCATGTGGATGGGTGCTGGGAATCGAACCAAGCTCCTCCGCAAGAGCAGTCAGTGTTCTTAACTCCTGAGCCCCCCCCCTCCAGCTCCAAATAAATATGATTTAAAAAAAAATAACGTAAGGTCCTACTCTGCCCTCCCCATCCTCTCTTTCACCATTTCAAAAATCCCGAGAACTCCCTGGGCGTTCCCATCCTCGAGCAGAGGTCTTCCTGTCTGGTCCTTTCCCCATCCTTGTCAGTTACCCAGGAGGTGAGGCCTTGGTGAGCTGTGCTCGTGGAAGTCCCCTGGAAATCCCCCATGTAGGGAGGGCCAAGGTCCTGAGAGCAAAACCAGCCCAACAGATGGGCTTTCCCCTTTGGTGGCCACATTGGCGTCTAAGTTAGCCAAAGTCACGGGCCCTGACTCCTAAGCAAGATGATGCCAATACGTCAAAGGCTATGTTGGAATCATAAAAAATGTGGCTGGTGTTTGGTGATGTCATTTGGATTACTGGTGTGAATCACTTTTTGATCAGTTCTTGGCTGCCAGGGCAGGAGGCTTGAGGACATCCCCTTGTCCCCCAGGGATGAGAACATACTCCAACCCTTTCCCTGAGGCAGTCTGATGCAGAGCATACTGTGTACTCTGTGTCCCTACTAAAGGGCTAATCTCAATTTCCCCCATCCTTCTGCACCACCACGACCACCAGGGGGTGCTATGTGCTGCTCTCACAGGCCTCTCTCTCCCTCTCTCTCTCCCTTTCTCCCTCTCCCTCCCTCCCTCCCTCTCTCTCTCTCTCCCCCTCCCTCCCTCCCTCCCTCCCTCCCTCCCTCCCTCCCTCCCTCCCTCCCTCCCTCCCTCCCTCCCTCCCTCTCTCTCTCTCTCTCTCTCTCTCTCTCTCTCTCTCTCTCTCCCTCTCTCTCTCCCTCACACACACACACATACACACACACCTTTTCCAGCTCTGGCTGGCTTGTGTAGTAGGTGGCCTGTATTCCTCCACTCTACTCATTAGCTTGGTTAGTCTGAATATGAGCAAGTTCATGGGACTCGGGACGTGGGGTTAGTCCATTGGCCTGGCTCAAAGTGATGTGTGTCCTTTGCCTGTTGCCAGTGCCCCTAATGCCAGCCGACCATCCATGAAATGTGTGGCCTTAGGTGGGGTTGGAGAATGATGGGGCTAATGGCATCCTGTCTGTCCCAGGGAAAAACAAGAGTCCCAGGCTTCATCATCCCACAGGCAAGATACATTCCAGCAAGCCCAGGTGCCACCCATCCCCACTTCCTCTTACTTATTCTCACCTCCTGTCCACTGGCAAGACCCCCTTTTCTCCTTACCCAAGTCATGCACAGCACTCTAACTGTCCTGTCTACTCCTGCCAAACTCCAAACTCATGCTTCCAATCTTCAAGGAAGCCAAAGTGACCATTGAAAATACATATCGGAGTATGTCATGCCCCGCTCAGATGCCATGGATGAGTTCCTGGGTGTGACTGAAAGATTTCTTAGATCTCGGGATCCTACCTCCAGGTGTCCCCTTGAGTGAGGGTGGAGTCTGTGGCTTGTTTCTGCAAAGACCAATTAAGGCAGTGATGAAAGATGCCACATCTGAGACTGGGTGACAAAGGAGAGCTGCTTCCTTCCACGTTGCCAGCAGACTGTCACCTCCTTGGCTTGCACAGTTTGATGGAGCAAGCTGCCAGCTTAGAGTGGCCCACATGGCGAGGATTGGAGGGTGACCTCAGAACACCAGCCCATGAGGAACTGAGCCTGGCCAACGTCCACAGGACCTTAAAGTGGAATTGAACTTGAAGCTGTCTGCAGGCCAACCCAAAGTAGTTTCTCACCCAGAGAAACTGATACAAAACCATGGTTTTGGTTTTTTTGTTTTGTTTTGTTTTGGTTTTTCAAGACAGGGTTTCTCTGTGGCTTTGGAGGCTGTCCTGGAACTAGCTCTTGTAGATCAGGCTGGTCTCGAACTCACAGAGATTCCCTGCCTTTACCTCCTGAGTGCTGGAATTAAAGGTGTGCGCCACCAACACCCACCAAAACCATGTTATTTTTAAAACGGGGATGCAACTTGTCAGACAGCAGAAGCTAACTAATGCAATCACTTGGAATAGAATTCCACCATGTCTAGCTCTAGGAATCTTTTCTACCAGACTTGTAACCCTTTCTTTTCCTATAGTTCACCAACATCTAGATGGCCTGGCCTTCTTTTTTCTTTGTATTGATTTCTACTGTGAAGTCATTGCCCTAGTTGTATCTTCTGTATAGACACACCCACCCAACCCCCAGACCCTGGCTTGATTGGTACCATTCTGTCCTTTGGGTTTTTTCAGTCCAAATATCATCATCTCCTCTGCCTGACTCCCAGCTTCTCCATCACCCTAAACTGCCTTGTCTTCCTGTCAAAATGCTCATCAGCACCAGACGAGGCCTCGCTTGCCTGTTTCTTTACTCGTTCACTCTATTGTCCCTCATTAAAATGGAAATGGGACACTGTATTAGTCAGGCTTCTCCAGAGGAACAGAACCAATGAAACGTATACGTGTTACAAAGGGGATTCATCAGGTTGCCTTACATAATGCAGTCTGGATAGTCCAACAGTGGCTGTCTGCACACTGGCAACGCTGAGAACTTGGTAGCTGATTGCTAACTTTGGTGGCTGGATGCCTTAGCAGGCCCCATCTGGTGCTGAAGGTCTGGAGGGTTCCTGGAGAGCCACTGGCATCAGTCCAGGTTAGAAAGCCAAAAAAGCTAGATTCTGAAGGCCACGGAGGGTGGCAGTGGCAGCCGCAATGGTACAGACTCACCAGCAAGAAGTGATATCGGGTGTCAAGCATTGCTTTCTCCTGGGACATTTTTATATCTGGACTACTAGAAAGTGCTGCCCACTCTTGAGGAGGGGCTCCTCCTTTCAGTTAACCCTTCTGGAAACACTTCAAGAACCCACCCAGAAGGGTGCCTCTACGTTGACTGCAAATTCCATCAAGTTGACAGTCTTATTGTCCATCATGGATGCTTTGCTCCAGTTCCCACAATCCACCGCAGCATACAGTAGGCACTCAAGGAATGTTTAAATAATTAACTAATTGTCACCTGCAAATGATGCTCCTCAACCAGGCTTCACCGTTATTTCCATGGTGCCCCACCTGGAGATAAATGCTCATTTGGTCTTCCCTAGGAGAACAAGTGTCTTGTCCCTCCAAAGACAGCCTCAGCTCTGGTCCTGTGAGACTTCAGGGTGTGTGGGGGATCACAGAACACCCCATCTGTACCCTTGCAGTACCCTGGGAACTTAGGGTCCCCCAAACGTATTTACAACCCTTCTTTAGCCCATCACAAGCAAGCCCCACCCCATGGGCTTATCCCACCCTCTACAAGCCTTCACCAGACCCTCCTCCCAGCTTGTCTCTCATGAAATCTACACTTGCTTAAGGGAACTTGACTTTCCAGAATTTTCCAGACCCCTTTGGCTCTCCTTGGGAGAAGAAGTGTTGTGTTAGACGTGGGATGCAAAGATGGAGTTAGCACACCCCACCCTAAAGGGGTCCCAGGCTTCAGAAGGAGCCACGATAACTAACTAACTGAAATTTTGCTGGAGCTCAGGACTGTCACATTCATCCACAAAACTCAAGTCCAGAGACTGGAGAGATGGCTCAGCAGTTAAGAGCACCGACTGCTCTGGCAGAGGACTCGGGTTCCATTCCCAGAGGTGGCTCACTATCACCTCTAACTCCAGCTCCGAAGAATCTGATGCCCACTTCTGGCTTCCACAGACACTGGACACACAAGGCACACGGACACAGAAGCAGGCGAAACGCCCCACACAGACAATAAAATAAATCGAGTCCACACCGTGGTTTTACCAAGTGTACTGAAATGGGAGTGGTAAGCTGGGGTAAAGCCAGAGCTCAGAGCCTTGGCCCTTGTACCGGTTGGTCTGCGTTCAAGAGCAGTGTTTCTCTGTGTGTGTGCTCCCTGTGCACAAATGGGCTTTCACCCACGCACGCCTGTGTCGGGGCTGGAGGCTGACTGCAGGTACTTCCTTATCACTTGAGACACGGTCGCTTACTGAAGCTGGAGCTCATCATTTGGCTAGACTGGTTGGCCACCAAGACCCTGGGATCCTCCTCCCTGCATGTTACCCCTTGTCCCCTTGTGCTGGGGTTTCAGGCATGCACTGCCATGTCTGGTTTTCATGTGGGTGCTGTGAATACAAGCTTGGGGACGCGTGTTTGCAGAGCTAGCACTTTCCCCACTGAGACACCTTCTCGGTCCCAACCAAAGTCAGCGTTCCTAGGCTGTTTCCCTCCTACAAAAGGGCTGTGCCTCCAGATCTTCATGGGCTCATCTGTAAAGCGGGGGCTCACACTGGTCACCGGAGGGGAGGGCTCAGGGAGGAGGGGCATCACGAAGGTGGGAACCTTTCCATCCGTTCCCACATTTTCAGCAAACTCAATCCCTTGCCTGCCTGAGAGTCCAGAGAAAGGCACGAGAGCTTGATCTCTAGGGGAAACAAAAGTGTAGAGATAGCCCCAGTACTCTGTGACTCAGTCTCCTTGAAGTGACAAAGCAAGGGCCACAGCAGAGGACAAATGACGTCGCGGACTCACTGTTTACCATAATTGAGGAGCAAGTACCTGAGGTCCATGAATGTCACCAGCACTTTTAGGAGCCAGGGGTGCAAGGGAAGGTACATCTTGACGCCATTGACTGTATTTCCCAGTCGGAACACACAGGCGTGTGGCTTCACGCTTCTGTGCCCTGGCCCACAGCATCCCTTCTGCCAGTCCACCTGGAAGGCTCCTGCACATCCTTGAGACACGGCGCACTTCGGCGTGACTTTGACCTTGTGCAGCCAGCCCTTTCCTCCTCGGTATCTCTTGCAGTCTAGGCTGCCAGGCCTGCCCCCGTGCGGGGGTGTTTCTGGGTGATACGTTTGTCTGCCGTTCTGAGTGGTTACAGAGCTCTGAGATGAAAAGAGGTCCCTGTGAGCCAGGACAGCAAGAAAAGATTTCTTTTTTGTGTGAACAAAAGCGACAGTGTCCTCTCTGTCCTTATGTCCTGGAACCCTGCAGAGAGCTGATTCCCAGAGCCCATGGTCTCTGCATTTTTGTCAAATGAATGCACGGGTGCATGCTTGTAGGGACAAATGAGCCCGCTGTCCAGAATGATAATTGGACAGAGTACTTGGAGACTGAATTACTGTGGAAAGCTCAGGCTGCCCAGACTGCTGCATGGCTTTGTACTAACCCTCCTTTCTCACGGTCTCCCTTCACCTTCACCTTGTGTAATACTGACCAGCTGGGGCTGAGGAAATGTCTCACTAGGTAAAGTGCCTGGCCACGCAAGCAGGAAGACCTGAGTTCAAATCCCCAGCACCCACTTCAAAGCTAGGCATGGCATTGTAGTTCTGGAGGTGAAGAAACAGACAGGTGCCTGGAGTTCACCAGCGAGCCAGCCTAGCCAATTGGTTAGCTTCGGGTTCAGTGAGAGACCCTGCCTCAAAAAATAAGGTGGTAAGCCATGTGGTGGTGGTGCAGGCCTTTAGACCCAGCACTCGGGAGGTAGAGGCAGAGGCAGGCGGATCTCTGTGAGTTCGAGGCCAGCCTGGTCTACAAAGTGAGTTCTAGGACAGGCAGGGCTGTTGCACAGAGAAACTCTGTCTCAGAAAAAAAAAATGTTTAAATTAGGTGATGAAAAAACAGAGGAAGACACTTTATGCCGCTGACCTCTGGCTTCCATGCATGCATGCATACATACAAACGCACATATATGAAGGTATGTACAGACACATACCTGAGATGCACATTTACATACAGTAACTAGTAATAATTTTTCCTTTTCTTTCTTTTTGTCTTGTTTTTGTTTTCCGAGACAGGGTTTCTCTCTGTAGACCAAGCTGTCCTCGAATTCTCAGAGATCCACCTGACTCTGCCTCCTGAGTCCTAGGATTAAAAGGCTGTACCATCATGTCTGACTGAAAGTTTCAAATATTGAACCTTGAGAGCTTGTTTGTAGGCTGCAACTGGGGAGCATGGCTACCTGTATACCAACAAGCCACCTGCCTTTATTGAGGTGGGCTGTTCTCTTCCCTGGAGCACTCAGCTTTGGGAGGGATGTGCGTGGAGCACTGAAGCTGACCTAGCCAACCAGATTGGCCAAGTCAACCTTGGTGATAGAGTGTCAAATGTCAATACCAGATTAGTCTCACATCCCAAGGGATTTTTAAAAATTTCGCTTTGTGCCAAGAGTTGGTGGTGACACACACCCTTAATCCCAGCACTCAAGAGGCAGAGGCAGGTGGACCTCTATGAGTTCGAGGCCAGTCTGGTCTACAGAGTGAGTTCCAGGACAGCCAGGGCTGTTACACAGAGAAACCCTGTCTCGGAAAAACAAACAAACAAAAAATGTGTCTCACATATTTCTTTGGCATGAACATGTGTACATGTCAGGGTGTGGACACACTGGCGTCATAGTGGGAATGTAGAGGTCAGAAGGAAGTCTGTGGCCGTCAATCTTCTCCTCCCACCATGTGGGTCCCAAAGATCGGAACTCAGGTCACCGGTCACCTTAACCCACTGAGCCCTCTCGCTGGCACACATACTAAAGTTTGCAGTCATGGACCTGCCACACATATCAACCCTTCTTCCTCGGAGACCCACACTCACACACACTCACACCCACGTGCATGCCTCTTCCCACCAGGTGTGTCTTTCAGACAGGACAGATTAGAAACCCAACAGGACTGAGAGTGGCATGCAACAAAGCCACCAGATTTCTTTCTAGTAAATGCGGAGGTGGTACTCACAGACTATTTTATGCGAGTCTGTGTGTGATTTGCATACATTTGCATGCTTTCCCCAAAGACGGCACACTGAGTTCACAGAACAGAAAATTACCCAGGAAAGGACACCTTAACCGAAGCTTTGATTCCATACGACACCCTTTCTGTACCAGTGAAGATCCCAGGGGCTGCAAAAAACAATGCTTCCTTGATAAAAAAGAGTCATTGTGCAACCGGAGATACAGTTCAGCAGTTAAGATCATTAGTTGCTCTCTCCCACACCCACAAGGTGCTCACAACTGTCTGTAACTTCAGTTCCAGGGGCTCTGGCGTCCTCTTCTGGCTTCTGTAGGCACTGCACACACATGGTAAACATACAGATGGGCAAAACACCCATACACATAAATTAAAGATGAAGGTTGAAAGAAAAGTTACCATGATCAGGAAAATCCATCACTTAACTGAGCACCTTTTTAAGTGTCGGGTGTGGCTCTCTGAGTTTTAAGTACATAATTCTTCAGGTGCAGCCATCTCAACGCAGCTCAGGTGTTCTCCCATTGTACAGGTGAAGAAACTGGGGCCCATGAGGCCAAGGCTGCCCAGCTTGTCATGCTCTTCTAATAAAGGCATCCAGATCCCATTCATTGGCGTTGTTTGAGCACCTGCCAGGATGCAGCCACTCCCTCAGGCACTGGGTACACTGCCGTGGACAGATGAAGAAGACAAAGCCGTGGACAGATAAAGAAGACAAAGCCAGCAATGTCACTGAGCACTTGTGACATTATTAAGGGTAAGGATGGACTGCTGTAACAAAGAGAGCCCAGGTTGATTAGAGAAGTCAGAAACGGGCTGAGGAGATGTCTTACTCATTGATGATAAAGTCTGATTGCCAAACACATTTTTTTTGTTTTTTGTTTTTGTAGTTTTTTGTTTACATTATGAAACTGTTAGACGTTTGCTTTGATTTCTTATCTGCTAGCTCTGACTTAATTATTAACCCATAACTGCTAAAGTATTTCCATGTGATCTTCTCTTACAGAAGAAAGGGTTCGGACCTCTTACTTCTCTGGCGTCCTACATCTTGGCTGACTGTGCCTCTCCTTCCCAGACTCCTCCTTGACTCCTAGTCTCACCCATCTTGCTTCCCTATTGGCCAACAGTGCTTTATTTAATCAACCAATATGACAATATATACACAGAAAGACTTCTCCCATCATATCCTCTTTTCTGTCTAAATAAAAAGAAAGGTTTTAACTTTAAAATAGTCAAGTTATATATAACAGAAAAATTATCAAGTAAGAACTATAGTTACAATATTTAGACCATTAGCAGTAAGACTTAAAGAAAGTATTTTATCATTATTCTATCTTTGTGAGTTTAAGGTCTTATATAACTTATCTTTTGTTATAACTAAGGAAAACTATAACTATCTGTCTTCAACTCCATCAAAGACCACAGAAAAATAATATATAACTAGAATTGACAGAGCCACAGACACATGTTTTTAAAAAGAATTAAGTCTCTTCTGGGCATGGGGTGTGTGACTTAAATCCCAGCACCAGAAGCAAAGGCAAGTGGACTCCAGTCAGTCAGAGCTACACAGTGAGACGCTGGCTCCTGTGAGGGAGGGGAAGCCAAACACAGTGTCGTACACTTTTAGTCTCAGTAACGGGGAGGTAGAGACGGGGATGGGGTAGGGGGGTATATCTGGAGCTTCCTGGCCAGTGGGAAGGTCTCCTGAAGAAAGACAACTCTGTGTGTGTGTGTGTCTGTCTGTCTGTCTGTCTGTCTGTCTGTCTCTCTTGCACACACACACACACACACACACACACACTGAACTCAGAAATGGGTGGTTCTTGAGAGGTTCTTGGATGTGAGTTCCAGCCTTGGGCAGCCTTGCTTCTCCACGCAGGCACACAGAACGCCCAAGAGCCTCCCACCTCTTCTCTGCAAAGCCCACACGTGTTGTATGCAGCTGCTGGAGAAGGCTGGGCTGCACCTCCTGATTCAGCAGGAAGGAGGAATGAGCACTGAAGAGGCCACACCCAGGGCACCAGAGCCCAGCCTGCCATCTGTACCCTTTCTGAAAGTGGCCCCGGGGCCATATCTGATATTGAGAGAAACTAGGGAAAGGGCCATGCTGGAGGGCCTGAGAAGGGAGGATGGTGGGTTTGGGTGGGCAGCCAGTAGGCTTTGCCGGAGATGACAGGTTCTAGGTGAGTGGGTAATATTCAAGGGATGGTGTCCTAAGTGAACCACGCAATGGGGAAAAGGAACAGGGCAGGACTGCAGATGACATGGGGTCAAATTTGCGAACAAAGTCAGCTCCTGTCCTTACCTGACCCAGTCACATTCATGTACACTGCAAAGACGCCCGAGGCTTAGGAGAGCTTGCTCACTTCCTGAACTCGGCAGATCAGCTTACACCCAGCCGAGCGGCCAGGTGCTCCGTCCCTCCAAGCAAGGCCTTCCTGCCCCTGACTGAGTCTCAACAGCCTTTCAGTGATAGACTGTGGGCCCATCCTTTTGTTCTTTCTCTCTTTTGTTTTTGTTATTTTATTTTTGATCCAGGGTCTCGCTATGTAGTTCTGGCTGGCCTGGAACTCATCGTGTAGCCAGGCTGGCCTCCAACTAACTCAAAGAGATCCACCTGCCTCTGCCTGTAAGCGCTGGGACTAAAGACATGTGCTACCAGGCCCAGTCTTGTTTTTATTTTTAAAACCCTTCGCCGGGCGTTGGTGGTGCACACCTTTAATCCCAGCACTCGGGAGGCAGAGGCAGGCGGATCTTTGTGAGTTCGAGGCCAGCCTGGTCTACAAAGTGAGTTCCAGGACAGCCTCCAAAGCCACAGAGAAACCCTGTATCGAAAAACCAAAAAAAAAAAAAAAAAACCCTTCAAGGTACCTTGTGAAATCATCATGTTATTTTTAACTTTTTTTGAGATTTATTCATTTTTATTTTACACGTATTTGCATTTTGCCTGCAGGTATGTCTGTGGACTACATTCATGCAATGCCCTCAGAGACCAGAAGAGGGCAGTAGGTACCCTGGAACTGGCGTTGTAGACAGTTCTAAGCTGTCATGTGGGTGCTGGGAATCCCTGTCATTTCCTTTCGATGAGAAGAGAAATCAAGAGTTGGAAATACTTAATCTAATGAAAAGACACAATTTAGCCAGGCAGGGGTGGCATTCATTTAATCCCACCACAGGCAGAGGCAGACGGACCATCCAGTTCAAGGCCTGCTTGGTCTACCCAGGAAAAAAAAGATACAGTTTACTCAGCTTCTGCATGGCAGGAACTATGGGGAAGCAGCTTAGGGCTCAGTGGGTAAGAAGAGTTGGGAGAAATCGAAGGGGCTGCACCAGGGTATCCAAGCCCAACCTGCCCTCTCTACCCTTTCTGTAAGTGCTCTGTGGCCATATCTCCTTCCCAGAGGATCTGGGCAGCCCCATTGGTTCAGCCTCTAGTGACAGTGGGGTCCCCTTGGCTGTGACACCGAAGGCAAATGGCATCAAGCCAGGATCACAGGCAACAAACAGGGAGAGATGGTAGAGTGGGGGCGGAGAGGGTCAGGAGCCAGGTTTGCTCAGAAGTTCACTATTGGGAGAACTCACTCTCTCCATGGCGCTTGTCCCTGTAACTCCCACAGAAGTGAGATGTGGAGGTGGGAACCCTGTCTCATTTCTCACTGATCTGACTTCACACTCATAGGTCGATTCTCGTCGCATTGTTTGGCCTCTCTGTGCCTTTGTGGATGCAACTTCCTCTCTCTGGGGCAGATCTCTGCCTGGAACAGATTCTCCATGTGTCTGTGCAATGTTTAACCTTCAAAACCAAGGTCATGGGTCTGAAGCTAAAAGTGTTGGCCTGCTTTTAGGAGGCTCACATTGGGCTCCCAGCACCCACTTCAGGTGACTGACTCTTCTGGCTTCGTCGGGCACCTATATGCATGTTGTGCCCATCTCAGGACCCCCTCCTGCCTGCTCTGCTCCTCGTCATCCTTCTCCAAAGGCCTGGTGCTCTCCTGGCCTCACAGGGTTGCATGTTTGCTCCCGTGTGCATCTCCAGCCCCAAGCCGTGAGCCCTGGGAGGAACCCTGCACAGTGAAGACCCTTGTCTTAGACTCAGAGAAAACATGGCTAGAGGCTGGGAACACAGGCGGAGTCTCTATGGTGTCAAACTCCAGAAATAGCACCCTGTAGCCTAAAATCATTGAAATACATTCACTTATTCACTAACACTTGGATGACATTAGACCCAGGTAACCACCCCCCATCAGTCTTGCATCCGCTCAGTGGTTCCAGATTCCAGGCCCTGCCTCCGTCGCTCTCCAAAGCCTCTGCTCTCTCACCTTCCCTGCCCTTCCCTGTCCTGTTCCCTGCTTTTTCTTTGTTCCAGTTTGATCTCTCCCAAGCCCTGAATTCAGGCTACAAAAAGCAGAGCTCTCCTTCAAAGGTGAAAGAGAGAGAGAGACAGCTCAGCTGGGCTGGTGAAGACATAATCACTCCTGAGCCTCCAGGCTGTGGTCGTGAAAGGGCACTTGTTCTCTCTGGGTCCGGTTCTAGAAGGTTCATTATAACCTGCTATGTCAGACACACACACCAGCAGCCAGGGTCACGGCCGCAGCTGGACACATCTACACAGAGAAGATATTTGGGTTCTTGGCCCTTTTCCTGCCACATGGAGGGGCTGACTGTGACCTTTCAACTCTGATACCCAGGCCCCACATGGTGGGGCAGAATCAACCCCTCAGTAAGTTGTCCTCTGACCTCTATGCATTCGCCATGGTGCATGTATCCCTGCCCACATCCACAAATTCACAATAGATAAGTGAGCATGAAACACAACTCTTCTGCTTTTGAGACAGGGTTTATCTGTATAGACCCGACTTTCCTAAAACTCACTCTGTAGACCCCAGGCTGGCCTCAAAACTCAGAGAGGTCCGCCTGCCTCTGCCTCCCGAGTGCTGGGATTAAAGGCGTGCACCATGACCACCATAAAAAACAATTCTAAGAGGGATTCGCTTTGTGAGATCAGGAGAGGACACTATACTAATGCTTCCTTGAAATTCCAGTCAGATCACTCCTCCGAAGATTAAGTACATCTCTGAGGAACAACTGACGGTCTCTGGGGAGGAGGGGGGAGAATTGAGATATTTTGCTTTGGATTCTTAGCAACCTGTTCTGACCAAGAAGCAGCAGGTGTTTTGTTTATTCATCTAACCCTCAAACACCTGGGCTCCCAGAGTGACCTCTGAGAGGCAAGGAGACCTGAGGAGGAAATCCACGGCAGGCTGGGCCTTTGAGTGGGGGAAATGAATTCATTTCCACAAGCAGACGGAAATAAAAGGATTCTCAATGCTGCAGCACCCTGCTTGCTGATGATTTACGATCGTCATATTGGGGTGGCATCTTGGATGCATATTACCCACTAGGCTGAACCCTGGTCAGAACCAACAATGTGCTGGTAAGTGTTGCCTGGCTTTTTAGGGGGAGGCAGGGACTACGCATATGTCCACATGCATAAGTAAGTGTCGGCCTTTCTAATAAGAAAGATGCATAGCATGTGATTTAAATATAATCATGACTTGTATAATAGTCCTTGCTGGACATTCTGAATATTCTGAACTATCCCTCACAGAATGAATTCATTTAATTTTTGCTGAAGTTATGACCTGGGACCAACCTACAGCTGCTGTTCAGCCTTGTGTTAGCAGAACCAGACCACAGATACCTGCTCACGTACCATCCATATGGAAAACTTTTAATGTTTATTTCTTTTAAATTTTATTCTATGTGTATGGGTACTTTTGTATATTTGTTTGGTTGGTTTTTGGTTTTTTGAGACACGGTTTCTCTGTGTAACAGCTCTAGCTGTCCTGGAATTCTTTCTATAGACCAGGATGGCCTTGAACTCAGAGATCCCCCTGCCTCTGCCTCAAGTGCTGGGATTAAAGGCGTGCACCACCACCACCACCTGACTGCATGGGTGTTCTGCCTGTATTTATGTCTATGTACCATTTGCATGCCTAGAGTCCACAGAAGCCAAAGAGGGTGTCAGGTCCCTTGGAAACATAGCTACAGATAGTTCTGGGGCAACAGATGAAATGACCCACATGAACTCTTGACACTAGTTCACATAATTGACTGCATTGTGTTACTCTAACAGAATAC